CCCCAAAACCCCAAAACCCCAAAACCCCAAAACCCCAAAACCCCAAAGCAACAGTGAAGGTTTGAACCATGCTATTCCTATCTAAAATAATATTTATAATATCATGAATTATTCAATAGGGATGACAAGTCAAGTAATAAATTTGGATGAATCTAAGAGCGATAAAGACGAATTCACCTGAGACTTTAGAGGGTGAGGCAAAAACTTCAGCTGCAAGAAGACCTTGAAGGATCACTACAGAATTCACACTGGAGAAAGACCTTATCAATGCGCATTATGTGGCCAAACTTTTTCACAATACAGTAGCCTTCAAAAGCATGGGAGAGTTCATGATAAGAAGAAGCCTTATAAGTGAGATTACAAGAACTGAGGAAAAGCTTTCAGTCAAGTCTCTAACCTAATCCGGCATAAGCGTATTCACACAGGAGAAAAACCATATAAATGAAAGTTCTGCCCGAAGACCTTTGCAAGTGGGTCAAACTTGAAACAGCACGAACAGACACATGAAAGTTCTACAATTCGTGAGACTTATCAATGAAAATTTTGACCTAACACAACTTCTAAAGAATATTACTACTACTCCAGTCTTCGAAAGCACTATCAAGCTTACCACAAGGCTGAGCTTAAAAAGCTGAAATCTACTATGGATCCAGACGATGTTGTCAAAAGTAGAAAAATAGGTGCAGTATTTTTAATAGAATCTTTTTACAGGAAAGCATTGGACCCTAATAATAGAAAGAAAATAAACAATAAGTCCTCTTTGATGTACATGAACCATGTTCAGGAAAATAATGACATCCCAGCCAAGAATACTGAAAATGGGGTTCCTGCTGAGATTCCAAAGAGTTGCTCAAATGTCTCACATAGTTGTGGTTGAAAAGATCCAGCCACCAAACTGAAAGAGAGCGGGGCTAATGATCAAAATTCTGCCTTTACAGCAACCTGATGTTCTCTGAAGCCTAAAAACACTCTCTCTAGAAAGATGAGTCAAAAGCTCAAGATGCAGTCGAGTTCTGGATTTCGAAAAGGAGCATCGATGTCTGAGAAATCTATGAAGAATTGAAACAGCTTTAATAGTATCACACAGCATTTGATTAATAACCCTAATGCTGTGCAACCTTATGCTGGCCAAGCAAACGATAATTTCTTTGCCATGGAATCTGATAACACTGGAGGAGCTCCTAAAGTAGAGTACAAAAAGAAGGAGGATGAGTTCTCTGAGAACAACAAACTGAACATATTCACCATGTCTAAAACAGGCATTAATATCTCTAAAAAGTCGGTTGGCCAGGGTCTGAAGTCGATTTCGCCCTTTTCTTCGGTAGATGAGGGAAAAGATTCATCAAAAAATAATATAGATAAAAATGGTATGTACAAACCTAAGCCTCAGATTAAGATTAGTTATGAAGAAGAACCTAGTCCCTCCATCGCCATGCCTCATCCTTTGATGTAAATAATTTGTCATAATTTTTAGAAAGCAGCCTCCCAAGCTTCCGGCTCTTCCAAAAGACTTGAAGAATATGAAGCTCAGTTTTGAGAATCAGAAGCCGAAGTGGGATAGGATTAATAACTTACTTAACGGTCCAATGAGGTCTCAAATACCGACAGATGTCCTGCTAAGCCTCCCGTGAATTAAGGAGAGTATTAATTTCGGAACAAACAAAAACACCATTAACGATTTCGAATTAATGGTAGAGACTAACACTAGTACTAAACAATGAAGACAGCTCTGCGGTAACGGCAACGTCTGTCCTGAATTATTACCAGTAATGTGAGACACTTATAAAATGAACCAATGTACTTGCACTAACGTTTGAAAGAAGAAAGTGAGATTTCTGAAATCCGAAAATTAAGCTAATTCATATAATAACAAAGCATGCAATTATCCTGAATAATAACTCTAGACCCCCAAATCCATAATACCCCCTTATACAAATTCCTGTTTAAATTACTAAGAGACAGTACTGTGACGTTTTGTGGCCTGCAGGCTTAATGGAGGTCTTGGAAGGGTCCTAGTGTAATTATTCCTGCGCATATGCAGCTCCAAACCGTATTGGTTTACCAATCTACTGGCTTGATAATTCCAATCAGGAATGGCCCTTTGAATAGAACTTTTGAAGGGAAGGCTCAAGGTGAAATTTAGGACTCACCAAGATAGGCCTATTTTTGGTCAACTCCATTATTCAACAGGGTTTAATAAATATGGGGTTTTGGGGTTTTGGGGTTTTGGGGTTTTGGGGTTTTGGGG